CCCTGCCAAGCCTCCAGGAGTGGAGGACGGAGAGTGGGAAAAGGCTGAAAGCCCCTTGGGGCACAGGCGGCCGGTCTGCACTCCCCCTAGGCACTAAAACGCCAGGCACACGGCGCTGTGCAGCAAGCAGAACGCAGCTTCTGCATGACAGACGCTGAGTAGCACTAACCACAAAACGTGCGCCATGCAAATCCACAGGTCGGTGCCTGGACCCAGCCGCCGAGTAGGCCTGAGGGGTCCCAGAGCGGACGACTCGTGCCAGCGGAGTTTGGGGCATCAGGCCTGGCCTGAACATGGTGGGGATGTAAAAGTTTCACCGGTTACCTGGTAAGAGTTAGCCTTATCAGCATGCTTACCCGGTAACCGGTTAACCAGAAGGGGGCGCAGCGCCCCCTCCCCCGCCTGCGGCCCGGCCCGGAGGGCTGGACGAATGGGCTGTCCGGACCCCGGTGAAACGATTCAAAAGACATCGGTTAACGGGTTAACTGTCTCAAGGGGTATTTACATCCTTGGTACAAACCAGCTGCTGCCCCTACCATTGCTGTTCGCCAGAGGTGACCAAGGAGCAGCCTCACCAGCCCAGCCCCCTACCCCACCAGCCCACCCTTCGCTTTCTTCAGTTCTGTTCCAGCCTTTGGCTAAGTGACCCGCGGGGGGAGGGGTTGTGCTCGGTGCTGCCGTGCCCCATGGCCCCCGATGCGTTCGTGGTTGCCCAAGAAGCTCTTGAGCGCCCGTGTCTCCTTGCTGCGCCTCGTCACTCCATCCAGGGCGCAGCGAGCGTGGCTGTGCTTGGGAGCGCTCGGCGGCGCCCCGTGGGGCCCACCGAGGCAGGGGGAGGAGCGGATGTTCTCCCCTCACGTCGCTGCTGTTATTTTAATTTCTCGCCGTTTGTCCGGCTCCTCCACACAGTTTGCAGCACCCGGCTCCCATGCTCCAATAAATCCTGTTGCTCTGACAACTCTCCAACCCTTGCACTCAACGCTGACGGCCGATGACAGGCAGCGAAAGCAGACGTAGGGGGATACTTAGCCAGCCTGTTTACTGTTTGCTCTTTCCCCCGCGGAGCGGATCTGGGCGACGCGCAGGCACGTGGCAATACACCGGCTCCCGCCTGAGTCTCTCTGGGTGTGGCCACGAGAGGCCCCGCAGCGGAGTGGCACAGCTCACAACCAGACTCGTAGGCCAGGCCTACGCACAGTCCACGCTGGTCAGAGGCGTGGGGGTTTTACCACTGTTTCATACTGGCAAATGCCCTGGTGTAGACATGGTGATACCAGCAAAATAAGTGTCACTTATTTTGTTTGGGGCAATGAACGTGTCCTCTCCTGCTGGTGTCAGCTGCATCTCCACTAGGACGACGGCCATGCTAAGGGCAGCCAGTCTGTGGCTTTCCCTCCAGCTTTGCTGGCTTCAGCGGTCCTGCCTGTGACCAGGAAGACGGCGGATCCATCTGCGTTTGGGGCTGGGTGGGATCCCGGCCCCAGGAGACGTCCTCGTGCCGGCTCTCCCTGAGCTAGCATGCTGAAAAGCCTCCGCAGCGCGAGGGGCGGGATGGGGTAGGCAGCCCACGTCACAGAGCCTCAGCCAGTCCTCAGGGCAGCGAGCTCGACCCACCGCTCACCCTGCCCCGGGATGCTCTGTTATTAGCGCCCTAGTGAAGCGAGAGTTTGGGCAGAAGGGCGGGGCCTCGGGCAGAAGGGGCGTTCCCTCTAGGCGCCGAGCGCCCCTGGCAGGGGGAGGCAGCCGCCAGCTGCGCTGAACAGCGAATGACTTTGCACACTTCCCCACCCCCGAGTCCCAGTTGGCTTGGGGCTGGAGGAGAGGCAGGGCAGGCCACGGGTTAGCTGGTAAGCATCTCCCTCACTGGCTGCTTTCCAGTAACTGGTTAACCAGCGGTCTGGCTGGGCTGGAACAGGAGGCTGCTCTAGCCCAGCCGGGCCCACCATGCTGTGGGCTGGGGATGCACCAGCCCGGCCGGCCTACCGTGCTGGGAGTGCTCCAGCTCAGTGGCCCAGCCGGGGTAGAGCAACCTCCCCCGTCTGCAGATGCTGGTGAACCGCAACGTGTAACCGGCAAACTGGTGAAATGGGATTTTACATCCCAAGTTTGAAACCAGCTCAGACATGGCCCGTCACTGGGCAGACTGTCCCCGCGAGGCAGCTGGCGGTCCGTCCCCGCGAGGCAGCTCCCTGCTCCGTGGCGGTCCGTCCCCGCGAGGCAGCTCCCTGCTCCGTGGCGGTCCGTCCCCGCGAGGCAGCTCCCTGCTCCGTGGCGGTCCGTCCCCGCGAGGCAGCTCCCTGCTCCGTGGCGGTCCGTCCCCGCGAGGCAGCTCCCTGCTCCGTGGCGGTCCGTCCCCGCGAGGCAGCTCCCTGCTCCGTGGCGGTCCGTCCCCGCGAGGCAGCTCCCTGCTCCGTGGCGGTCCGTCCCCGCGAGGCAGCTCCCTGCTCCGTGGCGGTCCGTCCCCGCGAGGCAGCTCCCTGCTCCGTGGCGGTCCGTCCCCGCGAGGCAGCTCCCTGCTCCGTGGCGGTCCGTCCCCGCGAGGCAGCTCCCTGCTCCGTGGCGGTCCGTCCCCGCGAGGCAGCTCCCTGCTCCGTGGCGGTCCGTCCCCGCGAGGCAGCTCCCTGCTCCGTGGCGGTCCGTCCCCGCGAGGCAGCTCCCTGCTCCGTGGCGGTCCGTCCCCGCGAGGCAGCTCCCTGCTCCGTGGCGGTCCGTCCCCGCGAGGCAGCTCCCTGCTCCGTGGCGGTCCGTCCCCGCGAGGCAGCTCCCTGCTCCGTGGCGGTCCGTCCCCGCGAGGCAGCTCCCTGCTCCGTGGCGGTCCGTCCCCGCGAGGCAGCTCCCTGCTCCGTGGCGGTCCGTCCCCTCGAGGAGACTTTGCTGCCTGGAGCCGGTCTATTGCTCTAGTTCCTCTCCGTGTCACAGGGGCAACTTCCACTCCCCGCCCAGGCCAGCCACGGCCGCACGCAGCGGGGCAGGAGCAGCAGGAGGGGAACCCACAATTCCGTGTCTGAGATCGGCCGCAAGCCTCCTTCGCACTGCAGAGGCTTTGGGAATCTTGCTGAGGCGTTGAGCGAAGGCCCCCGCTCAGGGAGAGGTTCACGGGCAAAATGTCCGTGTCACAGGGGCAACTTCCACTCCCCGCCCAGGCCAGCCACGGCCGCACGCAGCGGGGCAGGAGCAGCAGGAGGGGAACCCACAATTCCGTGTCTGAGATCGGCCGCAAGCCTCCTTCGCACTGCAGAGGCTTTGGGAATCTTGCTGAGGCGTTGAGCGAAGGCCCCCGCTCAGGGAGAGGTTCACGGGCAAAATGAAAATCTCGCCCTCTGGCCGCAGCTGCCTTGTCACGCCACAGTGTGCGCGGAGGGGGCTCCCCTGCCCGAGCGTCGGTGAGGTTCACCAAGTCAGCCACTCCCCTGCTACCTGCCTCCCCCCCATTCTCCCACAGACCAACTGAAACTGCTGGTAGAAACCTCCGCCTCTCCTGGCCGGCTGCCCTCCCCAAGCCTGGGGCTGGTGGATTCACCAGGATCCCAGCAGTTCATCCAAGTGAGCCCAGAAGAGCTGGTCTCCAGCGTGCACAGCTCAGCCCCCTCGCTCGGGAACCCCAGGGGCCTGCCTGTTCCCCGCCAGTCCGAGAGCAGGGGCAAGACATGCCGCGGTGCAAACGGAGCTGGGTGCACGTGCCTGCAGAGGGGTCCTCTCCAACACTGCCAGAGCACCGCCCGGCTCTTTCCTCAGCCCCGAGCCATGACGGGCACATCCCGCCGGGACGACTGCCAAGGAACGGACCGGGCGAGAAGCAATTTACTAACAGGCTGCTGGTGCTTGACTTTCTGCTGCTTGTTCACAATAGCTCCAAGGAACGAGAGGGCGGGAGAAGTCTTGCTCAGGCTGCTTCCCAGCTCTCCAGCAAGTTAACAGGACCTGCTTTCAGGGCTTATTTTAAAGCAATGTGAGTCTCCCCCATGAACCACTGGGAATAAGAACAGAGTCTTGTATTGGTACCTTCCTGGGCACGCCAGGATCTGGACCCAAGTGAGCCTACCACAGGCGCTGCTAATCTGTCTGTGGTAAAAGAAGCATTATACACACGGTCAGTAGGGAGAGGCTGAGCCGACAGTCAGACCCAGGAGTGGCTGGGGAGGGTTTGGATCTGGGGTTCTGCGTCAGGTCGGTCTACAATGGGATTGTCCAGGTGATGCGGGGAGAACCTAAAAGGGTGTTACGAGGAAGGAGAAAAAATGTTCTTCTTTAACCTCTGAGGACAGGACAAGAAGCAATGGGCTTAAATTGCAGCAGGGGAGGTTTAGGTTGGACATTAGGGCTATGTCTACACAACACGTGTTTGTGGTAGAAAATATGTTAATGAGGGACTCGTTAGCATGAGTCGTGACATCATTAGCATATTTTCTGCCGTTTCTTTTTGCTCAGAAAGAAGCAGTGTGGACGTTTCCTTTTTACGCAAAAACCCCTTGCGCAAAAAGAAACGGCAGAAATATGCTAATGACATCGCAACTTATGCTAATGAGGGACTCATTAGCATATTTTCTGCCGCAAACACATGTAATGTAGACGTAGCCTAAGAAAAACTTCCTAATTGTCCGGGTGGTGAAACACTGGAATAAATTGCCTAGGGAGGTTGTGGAATCTCCATCACTGGGGATATTTAAGAGCAGGTTGGACAGACGCCTGTCAGGGATGGTCTACAGGGTGCTTGGTCCTGCTGTGAGGGCAGGGGACTGGACTCAATGCCCTCTCCAGATCCCTTCCCGTTCTAGTGTTCTAGGATTCTACGATTCTTACCTTGGCCTTCCCCGTGCTTTGCAGGATATGGACCAGCGCAGAGGCCATCTCCTCTTTGTTCTTCACGCTCAGCGCCGGCTCCAGCACGGAACAGAGCACCATGTAATTGTTGGTGATGTACTCCGCAAACTCCTTGTACATCTCCATGGGAAGGATGCTCATGCTCTGGTAACGCGCCTTGATGCGGAGCATCGGCCCGGCGGACTTGCCCTTGCTGGGGTTGGGGCTGACGACAGGATACCACTTCTCCACAAACTGCCGCCCCGTGACGGCACCCACGGGGATCGTCACCTGCCCGAGGAAGTTGGTCTTGTCCTTCTTCTTCTTCTTGTCGGTCTCCTTGTATAGATGCACCGAAATAGTTTTGAGCGGCGGGAGGTTATTAAATTCAAAGTGCTCCCCCCAAAAGACATTGTCTGTTTTCAATTTACAGGTAGTTCGTGCGTAAAGAACCTCATCCAGGCATAATTCGCACAAGTACTTCTTCTTGGCGGGCAGGTCCTTGCCTTCAATAATCCATAACTTTAACATATTCTCCACCCTTCTGCTGTTGTCCTGGAAAAGAGACATAAAGAAAAAGGTCAAGGAAAAAAACCAAGCCCATACACAACAAGCCGGAGAAACCAGTTAATTATTTCTGGAGGTGCTAAACGAGCCGTGGCTTAATTACATTTTATTTTAAGGAAATACTGGCTCTCAGGAATTTGCATAATAACACTACTTATGTTAATTTTCCAAATATCACTGTGCACTCCATGTCTGCTGGTGCCAATTAATATAAGGAACAAGGCAGATAAAACCCCTCCAAATTAAAAATGTACCATTTCCAGTTCTACTGCCAGGAAGGCCTCACTAGGAACAGGAAGGAGCCCTACCAATAATTAATGTCTTTTTGCAAAAAAGAGAAGCCCTTTTGTTCCATTGTTGTTCTGGGGAACAATCCGTTTCCTTTTCCATCTATGGCAAGTCTAGAAGTGTCCAAAATTCTGCCCAGGGATCACTTCATTCGTGACTGGAATGCAACCGCTTCTGGGGTGGGAAGAGCAGCTGCTGCATCACTGCCTAAGTATTTTAGGACAAGAAATGAAGACTATTTAATTCGACAAACACGAAGGGGAATTAAAGGAGACTGAACGAGCTAAGAATTATTATTATTCTGAAGTAAAAATGTGCCCTGGGAGCCATTTTAACACTAGTGCAGTGAACGACACCACGGAATCCTAAATGGCCCCCAAGGGGTCATGACCTCATCCCGAAGAGGCACCTCCAGGCATATGCACTTACCTGCTTCCGCTAGCAAGAAGGAACGCACAGAACCCCTTCAGTCAATCAACTGGGAAACCCTGCGGTGATCTGCTCTGCCCTCAGCCTGGCGCACAGAGAAAGGGGCAGCTATAGGCGTCCTTTAAAGGTGCCTTTAACCTCACCTGGCTCTAAGGGCACATTTCATGTCCCCTGGGATAGAGAGACGCTTTTTGCTGCAGTTTTCAATGCAGCAGGTAGAGGGAACAGGGTGGGCTGGTAGTCCAGGTACAGGAGTGAGAGCCATAGCCAAGCCCCAATTCTTTTGGGGCCATAAGCAGCTCACTGAGAATCCGTGCCTCAGTTTCCCCACCTCCAAATTGTGGCTCACCAATCCCACCCAACCCAGAGAGGCTGCTGTGAGGCTTGAGTACCTGGATACAGTCGTATGCTACCTCCAACATCACCATTTGTCCTGAGGGCACTGAGGCCTTAGATAAGCAGCAAATAGCCTTAGATAAGCAGCAAATAGCGCTAGGACTAAAACAAGACTGCGGGTTCTCGAGGGTCGATTGTTTCTCCACGACAGCCCACGTGGCACATCCCGGAGAAGCGAGGGCAAAAAATAATTGGCAGTTTCCCATAAATATAATTGTGGCAGAAAGCAATACAGAAAAAAGCTGACCCCCAATTACACTTTGTCACTAAAATGACAAGCTGTCCCCGGCTGCTCCCCTGCGCCGGGTTAGAAATGGTAATAATGAGGAGCGGAACTATTACAGAGACAATTCCTCGACGCCGCTACCTTATTTGGGTGCACGGCACGCCGCAGGTTCTCCATCCATTTGTCTCGTTCGGCGGCCGAGCGACAGGAGAAGCACTTACTGCCCGATGAAGTCGTCACCTGCATGGAAAGGAAGGGGGGTTATTTCTCAACCGGCACATTACGGACCTGGCTTTGGGGAAATTCAGCACAGAGGCTGGCGGGTGCTTTTATTACACGAGCCAACCGCTTTAGCCCGGGAGTCACATCTCGTGCGCAAGGCGGGCGGAGCCCTCGAACACAATGCTGAGCATCGCCGGGGGCTCAGCATGGAGGCCCTGAGCCCATGCCCCCCTCCCACGAGTACCAAACCAGAGCAGAGTCAGCAGTTCCTCCAGCGAACGCCAGCCCCCAAGCGCCACAGCGAGCGAGTGAGAGCAGCTCAGGACCAGATCCGGAGAGGGGCTGAGTGATGGAAGTTTGTAGTGTTCAGCACCTGTCAGGATTGGGCCCATAACGTGCAATTAGAGCAGGCGTGGGTAATAATTTTCACTGGGAGGCCACTTGACGAATTTTGCTATGTGATCATAGGCTGGCTGCGGGCGGGGCTTGGGGGGAAGGGGCGGGGCTGGGGACTAGCCTCCCTCCCAGAGTTGTCTGGGGCTCCAGGCGTTGAAGTAAAAACACAGCAAAGGGCTTGCAGCTCCCAGCCCCACCGTTACCGCATTGTCTGGTAGCCACCAGGGGTTGCTGCAGCACTTTGAAAGGCTCGGGCTGTGGCCTCTGCCAGGGTAGCGCTACGACCACAAGTCAGGAGCCATTTTAATAGGGTCCGGCTGCCTGAACCACAGCCTGGGAATGCAGTGGCCTCGGCAGCAGGATGTAAGCAGAAAGCAGTCCACAGGCGAGATCCAAGTGTTAAGTGGGCCGGATCCAGCCCCTGGACCGCATCTTGCTCAGCCTTGAATTAGATGAACCTCCTTCCTTTCTAGGGTTACCAGATGGGTTTCAAAAAAATAACGGACACACGTGATCTCAGAACGGGGGGGAGGCCGGGAGGGAAGCGGGGTTGGCCAGGAGGAGGTCAGGGGGAGCAGGGCTGGAGGGCTGGCTGGGGGAGATCAGGAGGAGGAACCAGTCAGCGGGAAGCAGGGCTGGCCAGGAGGGGGTCGGGAGGAGCGGGGCTGGCCAGGGGACTCGACACACTTGACATGACATCACAATCTACATTTGTCTGATTGAGAAAATACCGGACATTTCTATTTTCTCATTTCTATTTTCTCAATTTGTTTCCCAAACAGAAAGCTCAAATACTGGACTGTCTGGTTCAAAACCGGACACCATGGACAGAACCCAGAATTCCTAGCTTCTAGCCTCCCTGCTCTAACCCACTAGACCCCACTACCCTAGGGTTGCCAGGTGTCCGGTTTTGAACCGGACAGTCTGGTATTTGAACTTTCTGTCTGGGAAACAAATTGAGAAAATACCGGACATAGAAATGTTGGGTATTTTCTAATTACCTACGTTTTATTGTTATAATGAGTATCAGTACGTAGCTGCGTACTGCCTGGCTGGTCGACACACTCGCACTGCGTGAGTCACGCTGCGTGAGCGCGTCGACCAGCCAGGCAGTACACAACTACGTACTGATACTCCCGATGATGATAAAACTTAATTAGAAAATACCCGACATTTCTATGTCTGGTATTTTCTCAATTTGTTTCCTGGACAGGAAGCTCAAATACCGGACTGTCCGGTTCAAAACCGGACACTCAGCAACCCTCTTCCTTTCCCCAGCAGGGAATCCAAGCCCCTTGTTATCCCCCCGCCCCATCCCTTGGACTTCTCACCCCTCCCGGCTATCAGTGCCTCTTCTGAAATAGCCGCGGCGGGCAGTGCTGTATATCCGGCACCCTGCTCCCCCCGCCCAGGGCATGCATCCTTCCCTGGGCATTTCCATGCTCCTGGCACTGGCTACCCTGGCTGCCATGGACCAAGCTAGAGTCCCCAGCTCAGACCACCTCCAAGTGTCTGGCCGAGGTATCGCTGGGCCTTGCCCCACCCGTCCTCTCAGGTCCTACACTCAGGAAAAAACAGCGTAAGAGCACTTCTGAGACCCTGCTGGACTGCCACCCAGGGATGGATTCAGTTCAGTGACACTGCCACCACCTTCCACAGCCTCCAGCAGGCTTCCCCCATATCACACAGAATCTCAGGGTGGAGCAAGCCCAGAAAGAGCCATAGATAAGTCCTCCAGAAGGTTAGAGAGGCTCGGTAGGACCCAGCCAATCAGGGGCCAGGGTGGCCTACAAAAGGCGCTGCAATGCTTAGAAGCAGTCAGTGCAGTGCAGAGCTCAGAGAGCAGACTGTGAGGGGAGTCCCTGGAGGTGCCACTCTCACCGAGTGGAGGAGACGGAGGGGAAACAGAGAGACAGCTGAAGACATGCGCAGAGGGCACTGGGATGGGCCCCACAAGGCGTGTTCCCTGGAAGGGGTTTGTGATGCACATGAGGCTGTGACTCAAACAAAGGCTTTTAAAGAGGCAGTGCAGGCAAACACACTCGGCCAGGCCACCTCTACACATGCTGCCTGATGGCCAGAGATACACCACTTAGCAAGAGTCGTCACGTACCAACACCTGCTTTCTGATTCATCTCACTGAGCCTTCCCCGCATTAATTACTGTACTGGGGTCTCCAAAGGCCAATGCGATTCCTAAGCAGCGTCTTTCCAGCTAGCTGCAGCTGTGAAGTACCATGCGCCTAGGAAATAGGTACATTCCTCAAACAACTCGCTCCTCAGAACCCTGCTGGCAAATTAAGAGACTATGAGTCGGCAGTAGGACTTCTGTATTATTCGGGAAAACTTCACTCCGCTGCTTTGACCTTTGTATTCATTGCACCGGTCACCATCCAATAACACTCTTTATGAGCTTCCCTGTTTGCAGACTGAAGGTATCTAATCCACACTTCAAAATAAAGCTCCTTGGAGTATTACTTCCTCTAGCTGCAGAGTTCCTTGAATTGCCATCTTGTGCCTCTGCTGCCTTTGGTTTTCCCACCGGGAGGGCGGGGTTTCTCCGCTTTCAGGAGACGCAACTTTCTTTTGCTCTGTAAATCCTTGGCGACGTTTCAACGCTTCCTTCGGCGCAATGAGCCTCAGGCCACGATGGCTCTTTGGCGAACCTCCCGGCTGAGGTGAACACATATTCTGCCTTGGGAGGTTGCGTGCGCCTCTCTGGCATTTTCCCAATGGGACAAAAAAAGAGAGGAGGTTTAATGCTGCCTTTGCTGAGTGGATCCAATAGACATTCCAGCCAGCTTCAATGGCCCGTCTGCTTTGTGGGCAGTTGAAATGAAATGAATGGAGATGCTTATCTCCTAGAACTGGAAGGGACCTTGAAAAGTCATCGAGTCCAGTCCTCTGCCTTCACAGCAGGACCAAGTACCATCCGTGACAATTTTTGCCCCAAATTGCCTCCACAAGGATTGAACTCACAACCCTGGGTTTAGCAGACCAATGCTCAAACCACTGAGCTATCCCTCCCCCCAAAACATTGCTCATGGCTCAGAGGTGCCTCTTTCTACCCGCCTGCCTCGCACCCATGCGCTGTACTTTGAATCTCAAGGGCTCCTCTGGCCATGATGGAGTTATCTTTTACTACTGTGGAGAATGGAAGACTGCACACAAACAGGGCTGGTTGCATCATCTCTGCCCACTTTTCTTTTCAGCATCTTTACACGCTTCTCTAGGACTGCTGCATGCCTCATGGCTCCCCTGCCACAAAGCTGGCTTGCTCTATCCGGACTGCATGAACCCACTGCCTCCTCTTCCTGCTATGCTGTTTCTGTGGGGCTCCTCAGACTGTCTTGACCATTTGCATAGAGGAGACCCTGGAGCTGCATTTTGGGTCAGTCGGACTAACGCACCTGACTGGGAACTTTAGCTTAAAAAAGGGGGCAAACCCGCATCACTTTGGCGTACATGAAAGTACGGCACCCACTGAGTTACAGGCGCGAAGATCAAGGGAGAATCTGTTTGTTACAAAGTTACTCAACAGTGGGGTTTATAGCTAAATAACACGGAAGAACATACCATCCAATGCCCCTCCAGATTGCTCTGTCACTGCTATAGCAGGGTGGATTTTGAACGTGCAGAACTTCAGATAGGAATCCAAAATACAGGGGGAATTTGAGGGTCTCTTCTCTTTTTACCCCAGAAATTAGGGTTTGAAAGAGCCGAAGTAATCACCAGTGATGTTCCCTATACTCAAATCTAGAGGACAGAGGTCTTGTGCTCTGATGCATGACCACGTCATTTGATGGCAATTATCAGGAGCCAAATTCTGCAATCCTAAATAAAGCAAAACTCTCACTCATATCCCGGAGAACTGTGACGAAAGGCAACCGATTTCAGCCCTTCCGTGAGGCTACACCATTGAATTCCCGGGGGAACAGAAATTCTTGAATTGCTGTCGGCTGAAATTCTCTTTAGGGGCAAATTCTGCTCCATGACATAGGCAGCTCCCTCTGAAACTCCCCTATAAATTAGAGTGCGATTCAGCCCTCGTTCAACCCTTGTGGCTGTTAATTAAATCCCAATTGTTTATTGTTTACCATTATTTAATAAGATGCGCATCTACTATTTATTCTAACAACACATCAATAAACTGGCATTAATTTAACAAATATTTTATGAAATCTCAACACAATGGATCACTGGATAATTATTCAACAGTTACATTCTAAGGTTTCTGCTCATAATAATCCTTCATTACTGGGGCATTCTCACACATGTCACACCAGAAAGTCTCCTAGGAGTCCCATTAGGAGTTGAAGGTCATGCCCACCATATGTGCACAAAAAGGCAATTTTCCCCAGATTCGCAAGAATGCCCTGACTTTGACCTGTGACCTAAATGTCATGCAAAATAAATGATCATCACGAGCTATTGCTGATCTCCCTGGAAGACAGTATTCTGGTCACTTTGGGATTTTTAAATTTGCTAAAAAAGGGTTAATGGACTTGGATCAACTTATTTAGTGGTACCTGTTAATTTCTAAAGCTTAACTTATACATGCTCATTACTCCCATTCCCTGAATGGATGCTTCCTTGAGTTCAACCAAACTGTCTTGTGAATTTTGCTACTATCTGGAAAAAAAACATTGGGTTGCTTTCGGAGCGTCTGAAATTGGTTAATCTCTGTACAACAATTGATAACTTTGCAATGCCATCAGTTATTTCAACCAAGGGTCTGAATTGACATTATGAACAAGAGGTGAGCCTACATCATAGCAGAAACAGTGAGCATGATCATACCCATGTTAGAGAGAAGTTAACTGACCTGTGCCTGGAGCAGGTCTGTACTGCACGGGTAACACACACACACACACACACACACACACACACACACACACACACACACACACTTACTTTCTCTAAAAACCCTATCTATTGCTGCCATGCAGAGAGTTTGGGCGATTATCTGATGGCAGGTCTACACTTACTGGGAGATCGGCGCTGCAGCAATCGATCCCTCAGGAACAATTTAGTGGGTCTAGTAAAGACCTACTTAATCAACTGCTGATCGCTTTGTGATCGACTCCAGTATTCCACCAGAACAAGAACTGTAAGGGAGGTTGATAGAAGAGTTTCTCACATTGACCGCCCACAGTGCAGATCCTGCGGCAACTCGACTCCAGCTATGCTAGCCACATAGCTGGAGTTGTGTACTTAGGTCAACATTGCCCCATAGTGTAGACCTGGCCTGAGGGTTAGGAACGGGGCTGATATCAACTGGATAGGCATAGTCTCAGTGACATCCCCTCGTGTGGGTTGGGGGTGGAGGTCGAAGAGAAGGTTGGGCCAGGAAGAGCAATTCAGCCCCTGACGCTACAGGGAGGCATCAGGAAGTGGTGGTGTTGCTCTTACTGTTTTCCTGCTGCACGTGCCTCCTCCTATCCCCTGGAGGAAACTCTAGCACCTGGCCCAGGTGCAGGGCTGAGAGCTGGGACTGGCATGTGGCCTGCAGCGAGGCAGGGAACTGAATCACCGAGTTCCGATTCCCTCTCCTGGCTCTAATCTCTGAACTCCTCAAGTGGCAGAACCAGGACCCCAGCTTCCAAACTCCTTCCCGAGGCCACGCTGCCCAATCTAGATTTAGCGCAGAGCACGTACCACAGAACGAGCTCGTGACATCGGCCGGGAGCCCTTTCTTCCACTGGCTCAGGACAGAGAAAAATTAGATGTTCCATAAAATTATTTGGAAGGTCAAAAATAAAACAACACGCAGCAAATAAATATCGATCCTCCTGTTTTGTAGGTCAAGAGTCAAAGATGGGGAAGTTCCAAAGGAACAATTGGAAAAACAAATCTTAAGACACAGTGAGCCAGTCCAGACCCAGTGGAAGTAGGTGTATTACTCTGGACTTCAATAGGCTTCCATCTGATCCGAATTTGGCCTCATTACTGGTGAAGGTAACTGGGCAACCAGTCACATCCTGTCTCAATAAACGAATCTGGCTAACAGAGAAATGACGCACTGCACCTTTCAACAGCCAGCTGCTTCGGAGCAAGGCAGTTGGGTTTCTTCCACTGCAGATGGTCCTGGCACGAGTTGGTTTCTGCTGCGTTTGGCTGTGCTGCCAGTTCTCTTCTCCATCTGAACTCTCCAGTGTTGCTCCATCGGCAGCCGTGTCGAATCCTGCTGGTCTGATCTTCCCAGCCATGCCCTCGCTGCTGCTCCGTGGTGTTCAGGGGGCTGGCCAGGCAGCCTGGACTGCAGGAACTGCCAGGAAAAGCTGCCACCCACCATGGTGGGCAAGAGCGCCCACAGGGGAGCATTCTGGGCAATCCAACCACAACCTTTCCCGAGAGAGAACAAGCAGACCCCGGGCAACTGGTGGCGGGAGCTCTGTCCATCCGTGAGCAACACTCAGCAGGCTAAGGATAATTAACAGTCCTGTATGCAGGAATTTCCCGTGGGACGGAGGGGAACGGTGCAAGCTGCGGCTGCCTCCCCCCCTGACCCTGCAGCCCAGCCCTGCACCCCACAGCTCAGCCCTGCTGAGCCCCTGCTGTTCCAATCCCAGCCCCTGCAAGACTATCGCATCCGCTCTGCCAGGGGCGAACTCGAACTCTCTGCCTCTGCAAATCACGCCGTGGCACAGCTGCTGAGAGGCAGACTGATGTCCACTAGGGATTTAGGTGAGGCCTTGTCGCCACTTACCAGGAGATTGACGTTGCAGAGATCTATCTCCCAGGGATCGATTTAACAGGTCTAGTAAAGACCCACTAAATCAACTGCTGATTTTGCTCCTATCAACTCCAGCATTCCACTGGGCTGCGAGGAGGAATGGACGGGAGAGACCCCCCCCCACAGCGCCGCTGTCACGGGAATTCAAACCAAGGCACGTCGACCCCAGCTGTGCTATTCACGTCGCTGGAGCTGTGGATCTTAAATCGACTTTGCCCCCAGAGTAGACTTGTCTGAGACCTGCAGACTCCTTTCACCTCTGAGGGATGCCACTATTTGAACCAGGGTCTCCAGAGACGTGCTCCTGTCCGGGTCTAAGACGACACCATTTTGCTTTCACCATAAGCCTTACCCTATAGAGGCTGGCTGGTGAGTATCCATGAGTCACAAAGCCACGTCCTTTTTGGTGTCTGGCATTCTTTCTTCCTTCTCGGGACTTCTAACCAGCCATTAACATGTGCTGTTTTCCTGTACGACTCTTCCTGATGAAACTCACTCCAGATAAAATGCTCTTCCCCTTACAAGTGCATGATTTCTATAATGCCCCTCTCCATCAACTTTCCACAAGCACCGTTCAGATCTCTTACTCTGCTCTTGTGCATGGTGCCGAACTGGTAAACAACTCTTATATTATGGATGTCACATCTATTTTCCATCTAGCTTCATTTTATCTTTCTTGAGTGGAATGTAATAGAGGCCGTATAATTTACAAAACTGTTCTCCTCCTGACCTGCCGCCCTCGCTCAATTCCCCAGGGAGCAAATCACACTGGAAAATTTCTGCCTTCTTCCTGCTTTAGGGCTTATGTTTGGGGATAATCTTCTTCAAAGTCTTTCCCATTTACGTTTTCAGAAATTGCTTTTAAATTTGAACTTGCTGCTAATTTCAACAACAACAAAAGTTTAAACCAATCTCAGCTGTTGCTTTGCCATTAACAAACCTGGGCTTATCGGTTACCGTTCACAGTTACACGCAGGCTCACGCCCTGGTCTTGTGGGGAGCAGGCAGGCGGGAGCCTGCTTGTGCTGGGAGCTGGCTTAAAAGCTGGCACACCAGCTCCCGGGAGGCTGGCTGCCACCCTGCACTGGGAGTGCACATAACTGCTGAGATTTTCAGAGGTTACACAGTTACCCAATTCCATGCTTTTTAACATGCAGCAAGGCAGGCTTACACGCTAGTTAGCAAGGAGCGTATGCACCAAAGGCAACAAGCCGGCTTGTCTATCCTGTCCCAAAGCCTGCACCACTCTGTCTTCTCATGCCTGCTCACGCCTCTGACAGAGGTGCAGACCCACCCCTAAAGCAAGGCCCGAGCATGGCTGTTTGCCACAGTCTCCCCTTCTGCCCCTGAATACAAATACAATGCCCGTCTCTGAGGGCAGGAGTGATGGCCACCCTCCCAGGGGAAGGAGATGGCTTCCCTATCCTAGCCAGCTACTGTCGTTCACAAGAACGAGCTGCCCTTATACCATACGATAACAGGCATGCTGCCGTACTAACGTGTGTACTGGCCTTGCCCTCTGCAAGATGGAGACTTGCTGACGTACCAGTAATTTTGCTGCCTTTCTCAGTTGTAGCCCACTGAGATATAAAACCCAGTAATACTCCAGCTCACAGAGATCTTCCTTTCACGCCACCAACAGAAGCCTGGTTTTGGATAAGGTCCAGACTTCTGTCTCCACAGCATATGAAGCCCGGGCGGCCACAGAAGAGACCTGCAGGTTAGGATGCCTGTAGGCCTGTGGATTATTTATCTATGGTCTGTCAGGGCACAGACGTGTTTAGGACTTCGGGGGAGCTCTCCACACAGCAGATCCTGCTATGACTGGGCTCAGAGCTCGAATTTTACTGGTGTATTTTCCCCCACAGAATATTTTTTAATGGACCACACATGCACACGCACTCCCTGTGAAACACCGGTCTCCATTAGACATTGCTCCGAAGAACAAAAGTTCATGCCAGAAAGGTTTACAAGGTAAGACGACCCTCCTCCAAGTATGTGTACACTACAGAGTTTGGTCGGAAAAACGGCTGCACCGCCGTTTTCTGAGTTACGTCCACACTGCAGAAAAACGGCTGCACTGCCGTTTTCTGAGTTACGTCCACACTGCAATCGTGTTCTTCCAAAAGTAAATCAAAAGAACAGAGGGGTTTTTCCGACATTGGTAAACCTCTTTCTATGAGGAAGAAGCCTTTTTGCGAAAGAGCTCTTTCGGAAAAAGGCGTGTGTGGACGGGGAAGAGGGAGTTCTTTCACAAAAAGAGGAAAGAGGAAAAAGCACAGGTGCCCTGGTGGCCGCTCCGTCCATAGTAATCACAGCTTCCATGCGAGAGAGACATTGTGCCGTGTGGCACGTTTGTGTGTGGACGTGCTCTTTTGGAAGACATTTTCTGAAAGATCTCTTCCGAAAAACGATTCTTCTGAAAGAAGCGTGCCGTCTAGATGTAGCCCTGCTCACCAACCACATCCCTTCCAACGCCCACATGGCAGGACGGACATGACGGCCTCTTACCTCAAAACAATAGTCCTGCCCCAGAATGCTACTGTGAACGGGCTTGATGACCACTTCTTCCTCCATGCTGAGATCCAGAGCCTCGACGGCGCTACTGGGGCTGAGCAAAGACTCGTGGGAGCGGGATTCTTTCAGCCTCGGCATTAGATGGGATCTAGGGGAAGAACACAACGGTATCAGTGGGGTCTCTTCTCCGCAGAGAGCAGATTAGGTGCATGCGTTTCAAGCCACCCTTTTGAGAACATCTACAAAAATCACTGGCGCGGCTCTGCATGAGACGTTGGAAGCAGAGCACCGTAACGTTCCTTCCCTGTAAGCTGAGTGCTTGGGAGGCCGCCCAGGGGAGATTCAGGTGCCCCTCAGCTAATTGGCAGAGCACCCAATTAGCACAGCCAGCAGCGTGTGTTTCTACTGGTGGTGCATACCTGCACATGCCTCGGCACACCGAGCAAAATGTATTCTGCACAGGGATGGAAGAAGTGAGAGGAAACATTGCCTGGCATGGTGGGAACTGCTCTGCAGAAGTGAGAGAAAACATTGCCTGGCATGGTGGGAACTGCTCTGCACCTCACCCCCCTTTGTGATTTGGTAAAGAGGCTGCATTGTGAAGCCGTTTAATAAAACGTGGGTTTACTTCGACTCTGAAGCAGCAGGCGCACACGGTCACGGATGCACACAACGTGTGTCCCTGCAAAGATGGGGTTTTGCAGGTACACACACACGTTCACGGATACACACGACGTGTGTCCCTGCAAAGATGGGGTTTTGCAGGTACACAACCCCCGTAGCATAGGACTTTGCAAATTCAGCCTTCAGAGTTAAAGGAAGTTGCTATGGGTATGTCTACACTACCACCCTAGTTCGAACGAGGGTGGTAGTGTAGACATACCCTATGGTAGGCTGGCATTGGAAGGCAAAAACCAGTCAGTAGTACCGGTGTAACACCTTCACTAACACCAGAGTACGGGTACATGTGCTATGGTCCCCTGGGGATCTGTATGGACACGGCTCCACTGCCATATGCGGCGACTGAAGCAGATTTAAGTGGGGTTGGGTCTGGTCCATACCTGGATGGGAGACCTTCCCCATCTCGTGTCATTTCAGAGCTACCAGTCCCAGGTGAAAAACAGAAAGTGGACCAAAAATGGAGGGAGAACAAAGTGAATGGGGCTTTTTTCAAAGCCCTACAGATTTGGGGTTTATTCCGATTGGCTCTCCCATCCCGAAACGCGGAGCTGCGGCTGGCGCTCGGCAGGGAGAACACAAATGCCTGGGAAACATGCCGTACCGCAGGTGCCCAGAGCTACCGGACTACACCTCCACCTTCATTTGCAAGGAAAACCCAAATTCCTACCCTGGGCAGAGCTAGTGGCTGGATTAGCACTTGGCCACCATAATTAACCTGCACATTGATGTGCGCTCTCGGACTGGCACGGACACACCGACATTAAAGGGAAGAGGCGGAAAACAGGATCTGAGAGCCCTACGAACGGATCTAAACGCCCTGCCGGCACATGGGCAGCATTTAGCAGCAGGGAAGTCTGCAGAGGGCAAACAATGCACCAATGTCAGCAAGGATCAGTACAGAGAATGGCGCAAGTAACTGTTAATGAGGAATTAGAGGGCATGGGGGAAATACGAGGCTTTGCAGGGAAAATAAAAAATATATATACAGAAGGGCAGCAGGAAAAGAAACATGAGGGCAAATGAAACGGTCCCTTTATCTCCAGTCTGCATAATATAAAAATACTTCTCCTGAGGCCAGATCTGAGAAAGGGACTCTAATAACTTTGACCTTTAGAACTCATGGCAACAGTCTTCGTGTCTCAGAGAGGCTGCGAGTGTCTGTCTGTCTGTCTGTCTGTAGGGGACAGCACTCAAAAGGAGAAGGCTCTGCAAAGAGAAGGGATTTTCGCCTTTATTTGTAACACTGTCCTGTACACACGGCATGATGCCCTTCACACACATGGCTTCTCAGTGCTTCGTCTGGGTGTATGCAGTTTTGCCATTCTCGGGAGCAAAGCGGAAAGAAACACTAAGAAGGCCGGCCAATGTGTCTACAAAATTCACCCTTTCCAGTCATAAAAATGGTCATACTGGGTCAGACCAATGGTCCATCTAGCCCAGTATCCTGTCTGCCGACAGTGGCCAATGCCAGATGCCCCAGAGGGAGGGTCACAACAGAGAATCCTCATGTGATCCCTCCCCTGTCACCTATTTCCAGACAAACAGAGGCTGGGGACACCATTCCTACCCATCCTGGCTGATAGCCATTGATGAACCTAACCTAACCTCCATGAATCTATCTAGATCTTTTCTAAACCCTGTTAAAGTTCTAACCTTCACCACATCCCCTGGCAAGGAGTTCCACAGGTTGACTGTAATTTTATAGACTTCTATCATATCCCCCCTTAGTCTCCTCTTTTCTAAAAGTCCAAGTCTTTTTAATCTGTCTTCATATGGGACCCTAATAATTTTTGTTGCCCTTTTCTGAACTTTTCCCAATGCCAAAGATATCTTTCTTGAGATTAGGCGATCACATCTGTACGCAGCATTCCATGGTTTTATATAGAGGCAATAAGATATTTTCTGTCTTATTCTCTATCCCATTTTTAGCGATTCCTAACATTCTATATGCTTTTTTGACTGCTGCTCCACATTGAGTTTTCAGAGAACTATCCACAATGACTCCTAGATCTCTCCCTTGAGTAATTGGAGCCAAATTAGTCCCCATCCTATTGTACGTGGCGTTTGGATGATTTTTTCCAGTGTGCATTCCTTTACATTTATCAACATTCCATTTCATTTCCCGTTGGAATTGAATGCAATGAGATGTCGAATGGAGACTAGAAACCCGCCAAGAGCAGCGCCAAAGACAAACCAGGAACTTTGTAACCTGCGCTGTAAAGGTTCATCCCAGGAGCAGGCTCTGAGGTGAGAAAGGCCCCGACTCCATCTGGCTCAGCCCGTTACAAATGCCAGTGACAACCCTGCAAAGGGACGGCCTCTGTTTGGCTGGGGAACCCCTGCAGTGCAGGTAGCAGTAACCCACAGGGAGTGATGGTTTCTGAGGGTCAACAGACAGCGCAGTCTCCATGGGCCAGTCAGGGCTTGGGCCCCCCTAGTGAGGCCACCAGCCAAGACCAATGGTGCTGGTACCTAATCACACCTCCACCGGGAACTGCACTAAGAGAACATTTCACACAAGACACCCGGCCGCTCTCAGAAGCTAATAATCTTAGGTTATTACAGATCTGGGCCGGATTAGAACCGGCGACTTAGAAACAAAAGCCCGTAGATCCCATTAGCAATTCTCTAAGCTGTCCATTAACTCTGGAGCACTTGGACAAGTAAAAGGGATCCTTAGGAACAGAGCAAAGTCTCAGTCATTTCCCAGTACTTTGTGGCAATTGAAGGCTATTTTAGGAGAAAAGGGGCCCACATCTTGATTGCTGGCATGATACTGAAAATGACTCTAATGTGGTTGGATCGATCGAGTTATCCCCCTCTGCAAATGCTACGGAGAGAAATTTCTGGAAGCCGTCGAGCTGAACGCAGAGACCATGAACCAATCACTAAGGGTATGTCTAGACTGCATCACTCTGTCGGCAGAGGGATGCAGATTAGGCAGGTCGACATGGCAAATGAGGCAGGGATGTAAATATCCCGCGCCTAATTTGCATAAAATGGCCGCCGCGTTCTGCCAACTCAGCACTTTGTCGGCAAAAAGCGGCAGTCTAGAGGGGGATCTGTGGAGAAAGAAAGCCTTTTT